GACATTTCTACACTGCCTTACAAAAGGATTCCCACCACCTTTTCTCACTTTGTCTCATTACAACCTGAAACGTTAAAGTACTTAGTGAATTACATATAAAATTTCGATGTGCATGTGCATAAATCCAACTTCATATGATGAGAGAAGGATAAAATGCAGACAGGATATTGGAAGGTTTAACTACAGGAGCAGAAAACTTACGGATTTTGTATAAGGAAAGCAGGATATGGAGCCATCCAGTCAAGAATAATGGAAACCAGTGAGTTAATACAGTGATGGGAGAGTGGAGAGTGACATTGGATGCAGGTTAATTAGTCAGGGGAATGTGGAGCAGCAGAAGAAAGGAGGATGTGTTATACCATGTGTCTGCAGCCTTCATCCTGCATGTTTCTGATTCAGCTGAATTAATGGCTGGATTACCTCATCAGTAAATCATGAAGGTTTTTTTTCCAGAGATCTTGTAATCTGCTACTTATTTCATTGAGGTGTGTTGAGCTTGGGGAACATTTAAAAAACGCAGGAGGTTGCCTATTAACGCAATGTGGAATTGACCACCATTTAGCTAAAACAATCATATTCATGTGTTTGCAAGGCCTAGGCGTAATTTCAACTATGTAAAAAAAACAACAAAAAAAACACTTTTCAGATTTTTTTCCCCCAAAGAATATTGAAGAAAAAAAAAAGTCCCTTCTTCTTCACAATTGTCTGTAACAAAATCAGTTATATTGCGGTAGGTACGATGGGTATAAATACTTCTGCAAAACAGTTTTTGCTTTAAAATTGAGCTGTAAGCGTCATGACAGAGTTTGAGCTTATGAGAGACAAAAGGTGAGCTGTCGTTTTGGCTGGATTGATGTAAGTAGGAGTTAATGTGTCACAATGTGAAAATAACAACAAAAAAAGATAAGTGGAAGTAGGCCATGAGTTTGAGACTTCGAACAACACCCAGCAGGATGGTCATGCTTACATTCTTGAACATCCCTCTGATAGTTCATGCAGACAATCAGCCATTATAGTGGAGCTCCAAGCGTCTCGAGTCTTTCCTCTATTCAAATGCAGGGCAGAACGCTGGCAGCTAAATGTCATCTTGGATCTGTCGAGGTGAAACGAGCAGCTGATTTTTCAGCCGGCAGCCGCGACCGCAGCGTGTTCCTGGTTAGTGTCCTTGCCCACTTCTGTTGTATCTCCAGTGACCCTTTGTTCCCTTTAAGAGCAGCTGGGAAACATCAGTGGCGAAATGATTCTCTGACACTTAAATTAGTAGATTATTGGCCTTTCTGTCCAACAGAAGGGCTTGAGCATGTTGAATTAAATACATTTTAACTGTTGCTTTTAATTCATTCAGACTTCTTCTGTGGGCAACAAAAAATGTTTTAGTTTAACTTAAAAAACACTGAAATGTATATAGTTACCACATATTTCTCACCGTGTTTTAACAGTGACCATTCCCATATTAAAATTGAGTGAATATGCACACGTGTTTGTCTTTCTGCTACTTTGTCGTTTGGTTTTATGTGCAAGTCTGGAACAAACTTCTGGAAAACTATAAAATAGCTGAAACACTGAGTTCCTTTAAATCTAGACTGAAAACCAGCCTGTTTAGAGTTACTATTGAAGCACAATAAATGAAACGCTGACCAACATTTTGATGAGTAACGATGGCAAAATGTAATGTTTCTCTTTTTGGTTTTGTATTTTTATGATGTAAAGCACTTTGAACTGCCTTGCTGCTGAAATGTTCTGTACAAATAAAACTTGATTGATTGATTGATTGATTGATGTTAGTGTGTACTTACCTTAAAAAAACATTTGTAATTTGTGCCCGTCTTCCTTGCATCTCACCTGGTCCATGTTTCAGTCTGTCCCCACGTTGGAAAAGATTTGTACTTTTCCACAATGAAGCCCAAAAATGGGTGATTTTCCACATGGCGTTTGGTGTTTCGTTCTGAATGTGTCAGTCTGTTCCCATCTCCACGACATTTCATTCTTCTAACATTTTGGTTGTGTGTGTGTTTTTTTTATGCAATGATCTTTTTTCAGGTAGAACAAGGAGCTCTTCGTAAATCTATCTCCTCCTGAAAGGATCGAGTTGAGTTTTTCAAAGTGAAGTTTTTTTTTTTTTAGCAATATTGTTTCCTTTAACTGCAGGAAAAATATCACCTTGAGTTTCTTGGAAAAGACAAAGAAAAAAAGAAGAATAGACGGGGCAATGTAGCAACAAATTTAAGGTTGTATGCTGTGAATTTGTAGACTGTTGTGGTCTAGGTTAAACAGCACAAAATCCTGCAGCACAATTTTTATTTTTTATCTTCATTACACAGGTTTTTCGTACATTTTGAAGCTCTTTAGGGACACTACGTTTGTGCTGGTAGGACCTAAAATGTGAAGTAGCTTCCCATGTAAAACAGACATGCTGCATCTCTGCCTCTTTCTTTAAACTTGATTCTTTTCCTTGCATTTTGACACCAACAAGATGTTGATTTTGGTTTGTTGTTGTTTTATTATAGCATATTTGCATGGCTGATTATGTGTGTTTTCAAAGTATTTTGTATTTTATTATTCTATGTTTGTAATTTTAGTGTTTTTTATGTCTTCTGTGCTGCACTTTGTTTCCATCTGGGATAAAAACATTTATTTTCTTTTGCTAGTTCCTGGTAGCACTTTATTTGAAGGGGTGTGCATAAGGCTGACATGACACTGATGTAAACATGACACCTGATATGAACAGGAAGGAGTCAGTGTTGTCACCACGCGTCGTTTGGTAAATAATGACACTTTTAATTAGGGCTGTGTTATAATATCGATTTTGCGATATATATCGATATTTTCTTTCCTAGAAATAAATCGATATTCATCCGCAAGTATCGTAACGTCCAACCGTCACCTTGCTCACTCACTGCTTGCTTCGCTGGGAGAGTGATTAGGTCATCAGGCTTAGAGTGATTCCTTCAGATGTTAAATGTCAGGGTTAAAAGGTATCAAACTATGCAGAGCAGGTACTTGGTGCACTTTATTTACTTTACAAATGCATGTAAGCTACAGTTTGTACTGTTTCAATTAAAAGAAACATGTTTTCTCACCACTTTGATTTATTTTGTCCAGCTGTCGACTTTAAGTCTGTGTCCATGTCCAACCAGAGCCAGGTATTGTGTAGTTGGTGCTTTCAATCAGTTTTCAGTTAAATTAATTCAGTCCAATTCTATAACAGTCACAAAATGTCACCAAAATCACTCTGTCCCTCTAAAATCTTTCAGAAAATCGCAAAAGTGTATTGAATCGTATCGTTTGCTGAATATTGCAATATATATTGCATCGTGAGCAGAATATTGTGTGTCATATCGTATCGTGAGATTATTGTATCACTACAGCCCTACTTTTAATGCAAGTTTTAATGGAACTTTGCATTAAATGACGCGTTATATGAACATTTTTGAAGACTCCTTCATGTTCATATCATGTGTTATGTCATGTTTACGACAGTGTCATGTCAGTCTTCACTTTAAATAAAGTCTTACCGTTACCCTATGTTCAGTCATTCACCATTACGACTCCTGCAGCATGAAATCGTCTCCAATCTGCACATGTCAGATCTTATTTTTTTGGAAATATTTCACAAATATTAAGAACAAGCGAGGTGAATCTGTTAATTGTTTTGTTTTTTATTATTGTTTTAATGTGCTGTTTATTATTATTATTATTATTATTATTATTATTATTATTATTATTATTATTATTTTTGATCTGTGTAACCATTTTGATGCATGCTGCATATTTTCAGCCCAGGTCTCCTTTGCAAATGACATTTAGGTCTCATGATCTCAATTCTTCATATGTGAAGAAGTTTTGATCTAGACACCTTTAAAAGGTAAAAAGAAATGAGAAGTATTTCTAATCTGTGAGAGTGATGTGTAGAATTAGTCTGCATTGAAAATAAGTTTTCTGAATAGGAAACTTTCCTGTTGTCTTTTCCATGTCCACTTAGAATAAAACTGATTGATTGTTAGAAACAGACGACATAGAAACAATATCTTGAGTTCTGTATTTCTATTAATACCTCCTTCACTCTGTTATCCCTTTTCCAACTCTCTCCCTCATCATCTCTGTCGTTGTGTGGGATTATGATATTAGATGCACATCCTCTCAAAATCTGTCTAAATCAAGCCTGAAATGCAAACTCTAATCCTTCCTTTACAATCCTCTTCTTAAGCTGTGACGTTGCACCTCAGCTGCATTTCAATCTTATCTCTGTCACAAGTATTTCCTTTAAACATTTTCATAAACTTTTGCCATGTTTATGACTTACTGTGTTGGGATTTAAGTTACAAGGTTAACCCAAAGTTGTGTACAGCTGTGGAGTTGAAGGAAAACAAAGTGTGGTAGCACTTTATTTGAAGGGGTGTGCATAAGATTGACATAACTCTGTCATAAACATGACATAACACCTGTCATGAACATAAAGAAGTCTTTATGAATGGCTATGACAGTTGTCATGAAGTGCCATTCGGTAAATAATGACACTTTTAATGCAAAGTTTGCAATGTATGGGATATTTGTTTATAACCCAACCACTTCTTTCCTTGGTGTTTCATTTTTTATGGGCTGTTTGTTCACAAATGTTTGATTTTCTTTTTTTTTTTTTTTTTTTTTAAAACTAGGTGTGTCAGCAAATTTGACATATATGTGCTGCCTACTTTTCAGATCATAATTTCTTTCTTGATCATGGATCAACAGATCAATGGGGATGTTTGTAAATTGATCAGCAGGGTTTGATGTGACACAAATTGAGAAAGAACTGCTGATTTCTTCAATGAGCAGTGAAACAAATAAACAGAACAAAGGTTAGATCTATTTGCGCACACAGCACAGGGACCCACTAACACAGTCTGAGGCTTCCCCGGAGCGCGGAGTGGATGAAAAACGGAGTGAGAGACAGAGGAAGAGAGAGAGAGAGAGAGAGAGAGAGAGAGAGAGAGAGAGAGAGAGCGCAGTGTTTCCCACCGCTGCACAGCTGTTGTACTCCAGTTTCTCTGAGGAGGATGTAGGAGCTGGATGGAGAGGATGACCGGCTGCTCGGACTCCTAAAACCACCTCAGACAAGCTCAAAACATCTCAAATAAACTTCTCTTGCACATTCAGGGGTTCTCCATTGTTTGGTCCGCGGATGGATTCCAGGCTCCATATCGGACCGGTGGTTCCGACACCGGACCCAACCGGCAGCGCGCCTTGGAATATCAGCTCCATCAACCCGCACCGGCTCATGGAGGTGTCTCCGGTGGCTCCAGCTGTAAGTGTCCGCATCTGTTTCCTGTTTTCAGCCGATCTGAACGCAACAACTGTCTGCGTGACTGGGGAGCTGCTGTGCGCTTCTGAAATGCGCATCAGAATCTGAACCAGAGGCGCCAAATCCAGCTCAACACAGCTGGGAAAAACTGGGGAAATGCTGCTTATTGATATAATTTTCTACCGTCTTGTAAAATATTGTAATATTTTTACGTGGATATCATTGTAAGAACATAATTACAATTTAAAACTGATCATAGAAAGTGTAGGATTAACCAGCCGTGAGTGGATGAATGGATACTTGAATGATTGACGGATCTTCCTGTTGCTCCGCTCTTTTCATTCATAACCGCACCTGAATGGAGGCAGAGTGCGGGTGGTTCATCCAAGTCTTGTAAAAAAAAAAAAAAAAAAAAAAAACTGTCATGTGTGCGTGCAGTTATGCGTGACTGACGTTCCCAAAGAGCGCGTTTCCACACACAATATACCTGAAAGTACATCCACATATATAAGAAACACTCTGTGATAAAGGCTGGTCGCTTTTCTCACGGTGAATTTCACGCAGCCATTCATATTTTACCGTCATATTTTCGAACCATTCTGAGTTTATAATAGCCTGTAATTGTTTTGTCTGCCGTAAATGATAACCTTTCTGGAGGGAAATGTCAGTGAAGAGAGAGATAAGTGATACAATAAGCTTGATAATCATTTGGAAGCATAAAAAAGTGGAAGGTGAAACAGGGAAGAGATGAGAAATTATGCATTGTCTTCATGTTTTTGGTAAAATTCAATCATTCTGCATTTTCTACCTTCAAATCCTGTCAATAACTCTCCATTACTTCGAGCTATAAATTCAAAACTTTAACGTGCAGCCATTCAAATATTTTTATTTAATGATTTTTAAGGCATTAATGAATCTATTTCATTTAACCTTTTGACATTAAATTCATCATAAAAAATACTGCTAAAGAGTGCATATTTTGAAAATGCTAATATTTATCCATGTAGATTTGAGTTCAAGGAGTTTTCTGAATAAATCCAACAAGCTGACTTTTATTTTGTTTTTGTAATGACTTCATTAACCCCTGTTAATCTATATTATCATATTATCTTAATACTGAGCTACATACAGTTTTGAGTTTTATTTCTTCCTGTTATTCAGAGGAGTTTTAACAATGTTCTGCCATAAATCTACATTTAAAAACGTTGTCGCTTTGAACATTAAGCATGTTTAACGTTTTAGATTTTTGTAATTTGAGGTACAGTGTAGTGAGTAAATGCCAGGAAGCGTTTTATATCTGAATAAAGAGCGCAAGGTGTGCTTTTGAATTTCATAATATATGTTAAATGATGCAGCTAGTTAACAGCAAGAGATGTGAAAGGTGGTCATTTCTTTCAGAGTAAAATATGTGCATATATCACATGTCAGCCTGTAATTCCTGTCTAATTAATTTCACTACTGATTATTTGAAGAAAAGCTTGTTTATAAGTCTCAAACTACGAGTGTAAGTCGAGCCACAAGTCTTTAAGTCACAAGCTTTAGTCAAGTCTGAAGTTTCTTGTTTTTCAGATCTGCTCTGTCTGTCTCTGCGCCTGACTTTTTCAGAATATCCCAACCAGAGGGAGAGTTTGAAGCACTTTGACAGCAGATAATCTGTTTTTCAGGGTCCACTGTAAAAAAGAAAGTTGCTTTTCGACACCAATAAAAACTATTTCATTACAAAAACTCATTTTGCCCTGATTAAGGGTCATAATCTCACACATTTCCTAAAATCTGATAGGTCCAAATGCAGATTATAATCCAAACAATTGGAAACAGAGAATAACACAAACTTTTTATTTGGGTATATGTGAGATGTGAGCATTTTTTTAACCCTTCATGAACATAACTCATGAAAATACTTATTAAAAATACACCATGGTTTAAGTTCATGGGGACACGATTGTTTGTTTGCACGAGAGAAATGAAAGTAAGAAGCAACAAAACAATAATGTGTTGCTATGAAAAGGAGATCTGCAGAGGCAAACTGAGCGAAACGGTTGATCAAATGGGGAAAACATCAGTTAAGTTCCTAAATCTTTGATTTTTCTGAATTTGGATTCTTTATCTTGTAGGATAAAACATAAAAAATTTAACATACACTATTCAGGCATAATATTTTGCTTCCAAAACCCAGAGCAACACATGGTCTCCTTCTTTCTTTCTTCCCATGATGCATCCTGGTGCCACGTTTTCCCCATTGAAACCGTGTCCACAGCTCCAGCTGTGACAGAAAACCAGAACATCTTTTACTTTCTTACATGGTTTGGTTTCCACAAACCCATTGTTGGTGTTTTAGATGGTGGAGACTGTTATGATTTTGTGATAATTTTGTCGGCTCCGATTGCTGAATAACTTTAAAGTCGATAAGTAGATCGCTCCATTAATAACCAAAAAAATTGTCTGGGGTTTTTCAACTGTTTTAGGGTGATTTTGATGGGCTGAATCCAAAAATCACGTTGGTTTTGCTCAATCGGGTCAACTTTCTGAACTGAGCTACGTATTAGTTTAGGATGATGCCTGATTACTTTTGGACTTTGAAGAGAGACATTTCTGCTGCTCAGCATACGAGGCGTTCAAAGGACCAGAAGTTCATGCCCCAGTGAAGACGTAATGTTCAATTTACATGTATTTACCATTACCTGTGTTTATTATTCAATTTACCCAAATCCAAGTTTTATCATTTAATTAATACACTCTGTTAGAAAACCAATTTTTTTCTCCTAAAACCTTTTTTGGATGAGAAATATTAACGGAAATGAACTGATAATGTTACAAAAATGTCATCAATTTAGTCAGAAGATCAGATTTCTCTAAATCAAATTAGAATAAAAACCTGATATGGTTGAAAAAAATGGATGGCATTTTTGGATTCTGTGGTGCAAAATAGTCCTAATTCAGTAAAAAACCAAAAACAAAGACAACTTCCAAAAGTATTTTTGTGTTTTTACTTCTGTAAACAACGAGCTGCTGTCACCATTCTTCTGCGTTAACAGGTTTCTTTGAAGTCTTAAATCGTTCACTCAGAAGTCTGATTGTGGTGACTTGTAGTTTGAAAGACAAGGCAATAAAAAAAAGAAGCAAAACTCCAAATTGAGCATCAAGACCTGCTGAGTGAACGCAGCACAAGCAATCTGCTTCCAAAATGTGACGCAAGATCAATTCTTAAACTTTTCCAACCCGACCAGCGTCAACGCCTTCAGGAATCAGCCTGCCTGCAGGATCGGGCCACGCCGGCCAGCCTTCAGTCCCCGTTAGCATCAATTAACCTTTGACCTTGCCGTCGGTTCAAGCAGCAGCAGACTGGGAAACTCCCTTTAAGAGCTGCAGTTTCAGAGACGCTGTGACTATTCTAGCTTTCACAGTTTGGCTCCTTTCAGTTGAATCTTTATGGATTCCCATTTTCCTGCTTCCACACATTAAATTTGATGACATAATGAACTTTATTAAGCACTTGGTGCCTGATAAAGCTCACTTACTAATAGGTGCTCTGATGTTATTCATATCACCTCTTACTGGTTATAATTTGGTCAATGATTGGTGTATTTTTATAGACTAAATAAAGACAAAATAGACCTGGAAAATATGTCCACGATATTTATTATTAGACCTATAATGTTGGTGGTTGCATTGAAAATCCAACATGTGTGCTTTCCATTTTGTGAAGTAAATATTTTAGTCAAAGAATCATCTGGGTGTCTGAAAGTGGGATTATACCGTATATAATAATCCACAGGTTGGAGGAGGATCCTTCAGCTCCACTCTGGATCTGAACTGAGTCCAAAACATGAAGAGAAAATATAAAACGTTTTGCTCAGCAGGAACCCAGACACACATCAGATAAGAAAACTATGAGACAGATGCAACTGTTGGAAAAATAAAGGTTTCATCTCTGCAGCTTCTTTAAGGACAAGTTTATATATTTTCACAATCCACTTTTAGGCCGTACTCTGGTCATAGAGCAAAAAGAGAGTTTATTAAAATAAATATGGGGTTTTCAAAATCTGTTACAAGCCTGTAATGTTGTATTTTTTAAGCATTTCAACACATTTCCTTATGGAAGTTCAAACTCTAAGGACTAAAAAACATTGACTTGAACTTGAGGTCTGGGACTTGAGTCTTTAAATCTTTAATGTAATCAGAGTAAAACAGTGAATGGCTGCAAGAGCTTATCATAAAATACTGGTTAACTGTCATTAACTTTGAATTTAAAGGGGACCTGTTCAAAACTCCCGTTTTTTAAAATGTTTTTATGCTTCCATTTGGGTCCCAACTTTGGCTGATAATTTAATCCTTTTTTGTGTCTGAAAAATGAGCCGTTTCAAAATCTCCAGAATGTGACATCACAAATCAGCAGACACATCCCTGTTAACTAGGAACCCCAGTGGAGCTCTAGCTCATTTGGTCAGCTGGTTTCGCCTCTGTATGCGCTGCATAACGGCTGCTGGAAAAGTGTTTTGTTGACTTAACATCCAAAAAACCACTTGCTGCATTCTTGTGGAGAATGCTGTACTTATGCTTTTCAAAGATGTACGGTTGTGTAGCTGTGCATCTGTTTGCAGCCATTTTCATGTGTGAGTGTAAATGTTGAGTTGGGGGTGTGGCCAGCAGCAGCTTATTTGGATTTAAAGTGACAAGTAGCCCTAAAACAGGAGCTCAAAGTAGGCAGAACTGACCAGACAAAAATCTCACTATCTAAGAATGATTTTCTACAAAAAATGCTTTGTATAGTTCATAAACCTATTCTAACCTGATTAAAGAAGCATATAGGTCACATTTAAAACGTGGATGTGGTGTCAAAATGTAATTTCTGCCCAGTTTAATTAACCCAGAGTTACCAGTTTGTTAATGAATCAGCTCAGTTCTGGAAAACTTCCGTCTTTTCTTTCTGCCATACAGGTTGGCTAATTTAGGCCTTGCTTTCGAGGAGTGGCTGATTCTGTGGTCACTGGGGGAGCAGCTCA